AGAGAGAGAGAGAGAGCGGGGCTTTGAGGAGAGAAAGAAATCAAAAGAGAGAAAGAGGCTTGGGAATTGTGTAGAGATTGGATGGGACCCCTCTTCAAATAGACCCCATAAGTATGTGCATCCAATTATAACTTATCTTGACCAATATGAATTTTGGAAATTTGTGAGGTGAGAGAAATGAATCTGAGCTATCCATCCATACATCAACCATCATGATTTAGGAGGAATAATAGCCCCTTATTCTTTGACCCATATCTACTTCTAGTCTAACCAGGATAAAAAACCTTATAGAACTTTTTTTTTTTTATCTCTTTAAAAATGCAGGAAGTCAAAATAAAATATTTTGGTCTCTGTTTCAAAAATTAACTCCCATAAATAAGGACGCAATCTTTTATTTTAAGATTATCATCACTAACTTTTTTCTTAAAAAAAAAAGTATTTTAATTAAAATAGAACTTAAAGATAATAGGGGAGGGGGGCATGTAGGAGGCGTGGGCCACCATATGCTCCACGCCCCACCCATGTGGTGTGGTACACATGTGCCCCTCCACACTATTAAAATTTAAAAAACGCCCTTTCAATATTTGAATGTTCAAATTAATTTTAAAAATTCTAAAAAAATTTATAAAATTCATAGAAGCATTTCTAACACTGAAAAATAAAATATTTAGTAGTCGACTAGTTCCAATAGGTCAAAATAAGTGACTGCAAGGGCTCTCCACCAAACCCAATAATCGTGCTCCGTAATTGCCTTCTCAAATTGACCCTACGAGATCCACGACCCACAGTCTAATGTAAGGGCTCATGGTTGGCTCCTCAAAGTTGGTAAAACCACGATTCTGGATTGTGGATTATAGTTTTTCCCTTAAGAGTAACTCAAGCAGACATCACTATAGTGGGGACTTTATCTACATTTTCATATATCCCTTTCTAGGGTTGCTTCTCGATGAGGCGGCTGTTATATGCACATGCCGTATAGAAATTTGTTAAGGATTTATCTTTCTCTCTTAGAGACATACATCCACACAATTCTCCTGGCATACAATCCATCCCTGGGTATCTCTTTGACCTTAACAAGGGATGACCATTTGTAAACCCTTTTCAGTAGTGCCACATGCCCATGAGTAAGGGTTTTGGACATGATCAGGGCCATCGACTGCTTAACCTTTGGTCAGTCAACACAAACTCCCACTGAAGTGCATTATCCACTATAAACAAGCTCTCACAACCTTTAAAGGCCACAAAACCTATACTAACAACCCCTATTTATTTAAATGTGGAGACCATACGTCTTGTGATGCCTTGCATGCGATTAAATTTTGATAAAAAAAGGGGCAACTACCATTGAATTCCTTAAGCACCTTGTCCTTCATAGAAAAATTGGGGATAACGACCATCTGTCCCTTAAAGTGCAAGTCATCCCTTTGAAGGTAGTAAGGCAAGTGAAATTTGACAAGAATTCCTTAGGTGTCAAATAAGAGATTGCGTGGCTGGGTCATTTTCCACTCTTCTCAGATCGTGTCCATATCTGCCAAGCAAGGGAAGGATATAGCTGTAAGTTGTGTGTCCTCGAGGGACCTGGATAGCGCTTTGGTGACCGCATTTTCAGATCCTTCTCGATAGACAATTTATAATTGTATTACTTAGATACCCACCATTGCTGGTTTAACAATGACAACCGTTACTCTGTGAAATGCTTTATGCTCCAATGATTGGTTTGAATCTTGAACTGTCTCCTCACTAAGTAGTACCTTCATTTAGTGATTGTGTAGATGATGGCAAGCATATCTTTCTCATTTGTGGAGAGGTTCAGTTGCCATCTTGATAAGGCCTTACTTGTGTAGGCAATGGTTGGCTTACTGAGTTAGAACTGCACCAAATCTCATCGCCAAAGTGCTACAAAGTCGGGAAACGCAAGCACCAGCATGGAGGTCATAATGTTCTTTAAAGCATTAAAAGGAAGTTTTGGCTCTTTTCCCCCAATTGAAGGCATCCTTCTTGGGAAGAGTCATCAGTGGGTGGAGAACCTCCCATAACTGCGCATCCAAATTTCCTTTAGTACCCAGTGAGTCTCAAGAAAGCCTTTTAATGATGTGGGCTGTGGCCATTTGACCGTGGTAACTATCTTCTTGGGATCGACTAACACACCCTAATGTGAAATAATATGCCCCAGATACCCAATTTTTGTTTTCTTGAAGGAGCTTAGACCATTTGACATACAAGCACTGTACTCCTAGGTGCTCCAACATGGTGATTAAGTGATGTACGTGCTCGTTCTGTCAAGTACTCTAAACAAGTATGTCATCCAAGAAAACCAAAATGAATTTGCAAGGGAACGATCGAAATACCTAAGCCATCGGTCTTTGAAATGTGGAAGGAACATTGGTGAGCCTGAATTCATAGTGTCCATCATGAGTTCAAAATGTTATCTTGCTCACATCCGGCTTGTGGACTTGAATTTGATGGCACCCATAGTGCAGATCTAGATTAGAAAAATATCAGGCACCTGTGAAGTTCATTGATTAATTTATCAATAACTGGAATAGGGAACTTATCCTTGATAGTCGTGCTGTTCGGAGATCTGTGGTCGACACACGTTCTCCAGGTTCTGTCATTTTTGTGAACTAGCAAACCATGTGGGAGAAAGGACCTGCACTAGAGGGATAATACCAGCATCTACCATCTCCCTGACGATCTTTTCCGTCTCTCTTTTTTAGTTTTATTTTTTTGCATGTATTGGTAATTGGGTATCAATAAGGTTACACATCAGCTGGTTGGCTTCCGGGCACCAATGGAATCCTCTAATCATGTGTCTGAGACAGTGGCAACTCTATAGGGTTGTCGAACACATCAGCAAAAATGGCGAGGATCTGCTGTAGATCTGGTGCTCTGCTTGAGCTTCTTTGATGTGTGTTTTTTGCACAATACTGGGTCATTATTCCCACACGCTCCTGGTGCAACAACATCTCCATTTTGTGGCTGGTAAGAAGTTTTGGTCCACAACCAGCATCTTTGAGTACATGTGCATCCCTATCTTCCTCAAACTGCATGATCATCTTTGAGAAGTCCCATATAATAGGCCCTAATGTTTGGTGCCATTGAGCTCCCAACACAACCTCACGTCCACCCAAGGGTAGAACGAACATATTGTTAGTAATGTGAACCCCTTGAATGCTAAGAGTTATCCAAGAGCACTTCCGTTGGCTTGTGACCATCCGCCGTCAGCTAACATTATATCAAACGATCACAACCTTTTACCAGAGACCCTAGTTGTCTGGCAAAGGCTGGGTCTATGTAGTTGTGCATACTTTCAGAGTCTGAGTCTATGGAGCGGTCAAACCGGCCGAGGTGTGTAATGATGTCTCTGGCACCTCCTCCTCCCCTGTATTTCTTCAAGGCCTTCTTCTAATGTAGTGTTGTCATCATCAAGAACTTCCCCATCCAACAAGAAGAGTTGTT